TGCTGAGCTTGCTGAGGCGGGCGCTGCTGAGCTTGCTGAGGCGGGCGCTGCTGTGGGGTTCTGGCAGGAGGCTCGTGAGAGCGGCCTGTCGAAGAACTAGAGCGGCGGGGCAAGAACAGATTCACCTGAGTCGCTTTCTGTACCTTGGAGAAGCGGTCAACGATGCCCGTGACGACAGATCCGAAGAGCCCGGTAGGAGATATAGGCGCGTTGAGGAACAGGGCGCGTTCTGAATCTCCCATATCGGTGAGCGTGAGCCACAAGTGTCTCTCAGTGACAACGAGGGCGGCCATGCATTTTCCCAGGGCTTGTGCGGCGGCTTTAGTGGCGCGAAGGGAAAGATCCGTCGCGCTTCTCAGATCCGAAAGGATGGGAGGGTTCCTACCGCTGTTCGCCATCTCGCACAAGATGTCGCTCTGGAGCGCCTGGATGGAATGCAGCGCTGAGGCGGCCTGTTCGGCGGCGGCAAAGGCGCGGGCAGCATGGCAGTATAACCCATCTCGGCGGCTCCGTCCACTGAGCGAAGCGGACCCCTCGGAGCGGATACGAGCCGAAAGAGGGGCATTCCAGGATTTAGTAAGCTCGTAGTGAAGCTCAGGCAGGAATGGTGCAGCCCGGCAGCAGGCGGGGGCCGAGCGCAGGTTCGGTGGTTGCTCGGGGGGAGGAGACCACTCGAGACCCAGGCGGTTGATGGCCTGCGAAAGGAGGCGCGATAGATCCTCCTCGATGCCGGCGCGGGTCCCCGCAGACTCTCTCGTCGATGAGCCAATCGACGACCAATCCTCGCTGTCAGAAGGGTGCAGCGAACAAGAGTCCTTCTCATCCGCGGTGTCGTCGGAGGCGACAGAGCGGCCATTCGGCGGCAACTGTAAGTCCGGCAGGGGCGGAGAGGGAGAGCGGTCGGTGGGCGGCGGCCCACATGGATCCGCAGGGGGCTCCGGCGGCCTCTGGGAGCGGCGTTTCTTCTTCCGCGGCGAAGTGAGAGGCGGCGCGGGAGCGGTTCTGACTGCCTGTAGTCGAGCCCGCAGGGAAGACGGAGGCAGGTCCTCGCAGTGGTCGCATCCTCCGTTGGCGAGGGCGAGCTCTGCGTGTTCCACTCCGAAACAGAGAACGCAAAAGCGGTCTCCTTCCTCGAGTGAAGAGCGGCATGAGCCGCAGAAAATTCGAGGCATCTTGAAAAAGACGCTCAGCTCTTTTAGGAATATGGAATAGTAAAAAGGATACGCGTCGGATGGCGCTAGCTTGCTGGGCGGCTGAAGGTGGCAGACGGCCGGCTTCCTCAGACTCCGGAGCTCGCTAGACGGTGCCTTCTCAACGACGGCGGCTTCTTCCCAGGACAGCGGATGCGTGTAGCTCGCTGAATGAAAAAGAATCAACGAACGAGCTGGGAGAGCGACCTTTATACACTGTAGCCACGCCCCTTTTGGCGGGCTGTGACGCAGTGAGCGAGCGCCGTCCGCTCATTGGCCGCGGACTCAGCGCCGCTCTCCCATAGGTTCGTGCATTCTCTCTGAGCGAACCAATGAGCCGCTAGCTAGCCCGCTCATGGTCTGCCTCAGAAGAGACTGCGTTGACAATGATTACAAAATTATGGAATAATTTTTTGGCTTCAACTTCTCAGCAAAGATGAATCTTTCCCGTAGCGTAAGCTAGCTTACGCAATACGAGAGAACCTCTCGTAAGAGAACAACCGTTTCAGCGTAGAGCCGTAGTAGATCGCGTTCGAAAAACAATTAAAACTTGAGACAAATGCTATAAAAAGAGAATGGAATAGAGGTAACTTACACATCAAGATAACAGGCTTAATTAAAAGGACAGGAAAAATTATGCATCAGTGCACAAGCATTCGCTGAAAATCACTGAGTACTAAACAAACTAAACAATACGTTACTGCTGCTGTTATTAACTGCCTTTATATTTACTGCTTCACATTGTAAACACCGTTTTAATTTAACCTATTTCTGCGGTGGCACTATTTTAATCCATCACTTATGTTGCGAGCCCCAAGGGCCTCAAGTGCATTCCAAGATGTGGGTCTCTTTATTTCCACTCTTTTTTCTCCAGTAAAACATATTCCACAAACAGTCCTACTTGTACCCTTACTAGTGATATAACACCAATTATAAAACGGTTAGTTCCAATCCTTGATTCTGTTTGGTCAATAGCTGTGCTTTATTCATGATAAAACACGGCTATGACCGTTTCACCCAACGGTTCTATGCATCACTGCACAACACTGCAGTTCCTTTGTGTTCACACTGGAGCATTGTTGCTGTTCACGGTCAGGGACTATTTTTTCTTTAGCAAAAGGAATGCTTTTATTGACTTTACTTGATGAAAGTTGCAAATACATTTCTTTACTTAAATATTTGTATTTGTGGTAACCTTTTTTTAAAAGCAATAAGGTACTTGAGGCAAGTGCTGTATCGTGAACAAGTAATGGCTGAAGGGGTTACTCCACTTCTCGAGACTTACAACGCCCTTCAGCCGTTGCTCATTCACGATACAGCACAGCCTCTCGTACCTTATTACTTACTAATAGAACAGGGCTCCAGACTAACTTTTTTTACTAGGAGCGCTGTTGCCCCTGACTGAAAATTTTAGGAGCACACTCAGAAAATTTAGGGGCACACCTTAAATCAGCTCGCAAAGCAATTATTCAAATTTCCCCCAAAACAACTGTAATACTGACAAATTCTACAATAATAAATAGACTTAACATTATGATATGCTGTTTTATTTCAAGTACACAGGGCTCCAGACTCAAATTTGAAAGCAGCACCACCTCAACTGAGAACTCACACCGAGTTCTACAAAAAAAAAAAAAAAGAAAAAAAATCTAGTAGCACTGGGGCTGACAATAAATCACTAGGGTGTAGATGAAATTAACTTTAGTTATCATTTATAATGTCTTAGGCCTAATATTAAATAAAACAAAACTATTAATTTGAAAACATGGAGTGAAAATAGCCAATAAACATTCCTACTGTTTACAATGGTGTTATTATTTTTTAAATAAATGTTTAAATAAGAGTCTTAAAAAAATCTTAAAAATGTTTATTTTAGGACAATCTTTGAAGGATGAACAAAAAATGTGTTGATCAAATAAAAAATACAAAAAATAAAATATTTATATATGATATTATAGGTTTGATTTTGAAGTGCTAGAAAAAGATGTGTAGTAGGCTACTTGTAAGTGTTTGACTATTTCTTCCACATTATCATATTTATGGTTAGAGTTAAGTTACAACATTAGCCTAAATCCATGGTGAGCTGCTGATTTAGTGGACTGAAAGCCTTCTATAAGTGTTTATCCTGGTTTCCACGTCAGCGCTGTTGATATGATAACTTATATAACTTACTTATAACTTACTATATATGGTTTATAACAGAACTCTGCGCCGAATCGGAATGTTTGTCACTGGATCTCGTGGTGTTGATGTTATTAATTCTGAAGCGAATTCAATGGATTCATTCACTGGATCTCCTAACAGTGTCACGTGAGCGAGATCGGCCCGCGACTGGCAAGTTCGGGGCTTTTTTTTACTGTCAGTGGCTCGGGTCGCTGTTGCTGCTGCTCGACGGTCCTAATCACGAGTATCGTATTTTAATTCCACTTTCATTTTGTTTGTATTCGCTGCTAGGTAACGAGTCGATAGATCGCTTATTGCTCAGACGCACGTAGCAGGTTGTGATATTTGTCTCCGTCTCTTTCCCACAGACGTTTATGCACGCGATTCTTGTCACGGATTCATTGACGCGCCCCTTCCACGCTTAACCATGCGTTTAACGTGTGGCAAATTTACTGGTCGCACATGTGCGACTGGATGTAAAATTCAGTCGCACACTCTCAAAATTTGGTCGCAAAATGCGACCATTTGGTCGCAGTCTGGAGCCCTGTAGAGTGTAGAACATTTGTTCACAAGACCAATGCACTAATAATCCACAAGAAACTGATCAACGTAAGCCGTAAATGACTTTCATAAAACAAGAACTGCAGGCACTGACATCACTGCCATTACATGATAGGCTGAGGTGCCTCAGGTGACCCAAGTTAGCCTTTACGTTTTCTCCAAAGTTAAAGTCATCTCCCTATTATAAGACAATATTATAGTCATCTCCCTATAATAAGACAATTTCTGACAAGGGAAAAACAAGACATGATCATACTGTATCACATGATAAGGAACCAGGAAACATGGGTAAATTTCAAAATAAAAGACATTAAAACCACAACACACACATACACTAGTATTTATCCTTTAACTAAAGAGAACGAATCATTTTGTTATAAATAAATTGTTGATCAATAGTTAAATCACTTGTTTTTTGAATATTTGAATGTTTCTACTGTTTCCATCTCAACACTTTTTGTACCGTAAATATTCATACATGTGGACCTACAGTATTTCGATTAATATTCCACTGTTGACCCAGCAGTATTTACATGGCCTCATCCTGATAAAGTGCAACAGTGACTACAGTACCCAGGGCTATTTAAAAATAAACTTTGCCCATTTTACATTCATTATTGTAAAATTCGAATTCAAATTAGGCCATATTAGTCTAGTGACACCCAACCCCTCCCCATCAATTCGAAATCTGAACTCCAAAACAGTAAGAAAACAAAAATAACTTCAGAACATTTGTCTCTCAGGGACTTAGGTACATCAGCAGCTGACGTCATCTATAGCCCCCCGACAGCTGCAACTCAATGACAGTTATCAAGACAAAAGTACCAGATGATACTATAACATAAAATACTACAGCCTTAATAGTTTCAATACAACATTGTTGTTTTGCAAATGTTCTCAGTGGCTATTATCCAGTTATAGACCACATTCCAATGACATTCCAAACTTACACTAACAGCTCGAGCTGTCTCAGGTCTATCACCTTTCTAATTATAACCCCATCCTCTGGCCCTCCAAGAATGGAAGTTTGGTCCGATCCTAAACTTAGCCCCTGTGGCTGCTCAGATCTGGTTGTGTCACACTGACCCTCAGTGCTACAAAGCTTACATGTGTTTCTCTCTGTGGATACTACACACTGTACAGGTAAGCTACAAAAACTTTATTAGCGGAAGCATTTAATAATTAAGTGCATTAAGTGTCATTTAAAGTACCTCCAAACTTCTCTTGGTGGATTGACACTATTGTTGCTGAAATATCAACTGTTGTTAATGATGGCATTTGTGACTTTACTTAACAAAAATTGCATAGGCATAGTTTGTTTTTGAAGTAGTTATAGAAGCAGTGACTTATATTGGAATAAATAAATATGTTTAAGTTGGAGATTTCTGTTCATGGGTGCCATTTGGCAGACTGTGACTATAACTCAAACAGATGCTAAATATAATGGACACCAGAGCTATTTAACACAGCGGATAGTTGTTAAGAGGGCAATATCTCAGTTGATATTTGGTTTCGAGTCAAATGTTCAATTACACAATTCCAACAGCTAGTCATACATTAGGATACGCTTTGTCAGTTCAATGCACCAAATGAAAATCCATCCCGTCTATCATAACTTTAATCAACAAAATCTTTTTATTAACAAATTAACAGCAAACTCATACTGACAGACAAGATTTAACTGTAAAATGAAGGTAGATCTAAACTGACAGGTAGATTTTATTTGAACTGTTTTTTCAAATAAAGTTTTTCAAAAAAAAAAAAGATCAGATCAGGGCAAATTTCCATTTGTTTTAAATATTGTTATTTTCAAATATTTAGTAATGTACATGATCTTTTGGCAAACAATATTTAATTATAATATGCATCAACTGCTTTGTATTTCATTATTGTTATTAGGCTATAATTTGTAATTTAATGGGAGGTTTCCATCCACATCAAAACAAAATAGTACAAATTGTGTGTTACTTAAACCCAATCCCCCACAAATGAAAATATTTTGTTTTTGTGATATTTACAACAGCATAGGCTTGTACTGGACTATCTATAAACATTAATGCATGTTCATTAAAGGTATAGTTCACTTTGAATTTAATTTTTGATATGTTTTAGCTTACCTCAAGGGCATCCAAGATGTAGGTGTCTTTGTTTCCACAGTATTTTCAATTTTGATATTTTTAGGTCAAACCATTCGTGTCTATCAGTCATGCAGGTGTATGGTCACCACCTCAGATCATGCACAGAGAAGTCCAGATTAAACATGATTTAATGACTCGTAAATGTAAGCACACATTGATGACCTAAGACACGAAACGAGCGGTTTGTGTGAGAAAACGAACAGTATTTATATCGTTTTTACCTCTTGTAACCACAGCCACGTCCAAGTGACCAGAAGGCACAGGCGCTTTGGTCCGCGAAGTCGCGCGGTTGCGCGAAAATTGAAAATACTGTGGAAACAAAGACACCTACATCTTGGATGCACTTGAGGTACGCTAAAACATAACAAAAATCAATTTTAAAGTGAACTATTCCTTTCATTATAAAGGGTAGACTGAGTACAGACAGATGTAAAACTATCATTGACAGTAATTTGCATAATCTGTGCAGACATTTACATTAGCGCATAGTCCACAATACTGTACCTCCAAATTTTAATGGCGACAAATTTAATTGCGACGTTATGTTTTACATTGACTTCCTCCTCTTTTATTGTGAATAGATTGACATTCTTTTCTGATAATCAACTGTTTCTGTTTTCTAAATTTTTCATTCACCAAATTATTATTATTTTTTTTTTATCTTTTGGGACATGCAAATGTGATGGGAAGCTAAGAAAATCAGGCAAATTTCCAGTGTGATCCGCTGTAACCCTGTTATAATATGTGCTCCCATTATGAGTGCTCTGGTGGGACAAAGGCTGCATCCAAAACCTGGCAGCTGCCAAGAACTGACTTGTTGCCCCCCTGCCCTGTCAGGCAATGACTTAACAGACGGCGTTTATGCATGAAGATACCTCACAAAACTGATTTCAGACAGACTTCTGAGGCAGCGTAACGATTTAATAATTGATAACAAAACAGAGAACTTTGGTGACAACAAATTCATTATTTAAATAACTACAATACTAACTAGAAATGTCATCAAAAGTGGTAAAAGTTGGTCAAAATGTTCACTTTACACACAAACTGATCACCAACCTCAAATTTCAGAAGCCATCTTTATTTTTATAGCTCAACAATCACAGAATTGAACGCACAGGATTGTGGGATATCAAAAATCGATCAGACAACGGGATCTCAGGAGACATCCTACGTCCGTATCCTGCCTGCGGAAGCAGTATTTTTCAGTTTTCGGATACAGCCAATGTGTATCTGCCCTCAGTGTGAAAAAGATTAAGAGCATAAATTACACGCGCACACACACATTTGTCTTCGGAACACAAATGAAGATATTTTTGATTAAATTTGAGAGGTGGATCACTGCTACATAGGCTGCCTAAGGGATTGAAACTTGACGGCCCAGAAAGTCATTGAAGAAAATGTCTCACATGCGTGAGAATTGCGTTCTTATTCTACTACTTCTTGTTCAGTTCTCGCGCATGCGTCGTGGAAATCTCTTGAACTCTTGTCTCAGGCGCGAAGGAAGAAAAGGAATAATTGAATAAAGTATTTTTTTTTTGTTTTATTTCCACACAAAAAGTATTCTCGTCGCTTGATAAACATATACTTGAGCCACTGTATTCAGTTTCAACCCCTTAGGCAGCCTATGTGGCAGTGATCCACCTCTCAAATTTAATCAAAAATATCTTCATCTGTGTTCCAAAGATGAATGAAGGTCTTACAGAGTTGGTACAGCATGGGGGTGAGTAATAATTAATATATTAAATAATAATGTTCACTGTTATGCTTTATATTATTTATGTAAAAGCATTATTATGCATTAGCAGATATGTGGATGATTAGTTGCTTTGCTGCTCAGTGATGTGTAACAGTTGATCCTGTTTCGTTCGGAACTAAAGCAAAAACAGACAATTAAAGGGATACTTCACCTCTGGAAATATGAATGTGTATTTAAAATGGGCCATTTATGTAGAAGAAATGAGAAATTATTTTTGAATTTGGAGCTTTCTAGACTGAGAAAAGCCAGAAAATGTATTTTTGGCTCATGTGGATGAAAGACAACAACTCCCAGAATGCATTTGCTTCACTGCCCTAGGAGGCCACGCCTACCGGTAACAGAGCGCAGTAGTTAAACAACAAGTCTAGGCTACTAGCGAGTCTCCGTGATGAGTCTGCCCAAAAAATGTGTTTCGGGATTGGGCTTTTGTGTTCTACAGTCACCAATAATCATGTTTACTGTGGCGAGCAGGACGAGTGAGGGAGAACGGCGCGAGGCCGGTGGCGTGATTACCAATGAGCGACACCTGTGAGACGCACCGGTCTCGTATCTCTCACGGAGGAGCGAGAATTTTCTTAGCAATGTTAAAACACTCATCAACCGATAACTTGTTTAGCGTTCACGTAAACATTACATTCAGATTCACCAATCGGAATGAATTCAGTTATATTGAAACAATATGATGTAAGGTGTGCATGAAAAACAATGAATGGTGACTGCAGAAAGCAAACGCTGAATTCCGGACATCGACGGACGGACATGTCTGGGAAAAAGAGGATGATAACCCCTACTACTCAGCTTTCTCCACAGAACAGAAGAGCCTGCTAGCTTAGCTTCCAAAAAAAGATGGCCGACACTATGTGTTCATTCTGTGAGTGAGATCCACCCTCTATGGGCGGGTGAGAACATGCGGGACAGCCCCTACTACTGACTGTAGTCTTTAGCCTCTGGACGCAAAATCCTCCGATGATGCAAAATGACGATTTTTGATCAAAAAACACATAAATCTCTCGTCTCAGTGGGATATGAGGGTGGAAAGCATGGTCATTTGAAAATACTACAGGTTTCCTACTTATACAAAGCTTAAAGGAGAACTCCGGCGAACAATGAACCTTTGGTCTAATAAAACATCGGTACATAGTCAACCGTTCTCTGAGATTTGTTTTCATGATAATCGAATGTAAAGAGTTTTATCTCTAAAAACTGTTTAGTGTATAATGCTAGTAATGGGGGCATTGACTAAGTAAAAAGAAATCGCTAGTTTATACCACCAAAAAGGCTCAAAATAGCCTCACACTAACGCAATAACATAATGAGGCTCCATACATGCAAAACGAAGCATTGAGAACTTTGTAAGTGTACAGACCGTTTAATAGGGGTGCAACGGATCATTTTTCGGATCAGCAAAAAAAATAAAAAAATAAAAGACAAGACAAATAAACATAGGTTTTGTCTTTTTGATTATTAACACTTTTAAATTGTGAGCGGTGAGAGCTATGTGACGATAACGGTTATCGTCACATATAGCTCCGTTCCCCTAGAAGTCCACCTGTCTGTCGTGAGCGCAACAGATGCTCGGGATAGTTCATCCACAACAGTTCATGTCGTAACGTGGCTCAAGTACTTTCAGTATGTGTTTAAAGCCCTCGTTTTGCACAACCGAATGTGGCCTCAACACACCGATAGCATTTGTGATGGCTTTAGCCCGGTCTGATTATGCAACTAGGGGCTACTTAAATGCTGCAGTGGTATGTCTCGGTTTTATCTACTAACCTCTTTCCTTCATGTTATATTTGATGGAAAATCCAAAATGGTCCCATACAGGTGATTTAAATGCAGGGCTCCAGACTAACTTTACTAGGAGCGCTGTTGCCCCTGACTGAAAATTTTAGGAGCGCAAGCAGAAATTTAGGGGCACACCTTAAATCAGCTTGCAATGCAATTATTCAAATTTCCCCCAAAATAACTGTAATAGCCTACTGACAAATTCTTTAATAATAAATAGACTTAACATTATGATATTCTGTTTTATTTTAACTTCACAGGGTTCCAGACTCAAAGTTGAGGGCAAAAAAAACACAAAAAAATTCTGGTAGCACTGGGGCTGAAAATAAATCACTAAGCTTAATTTAGGGTGTAGATGAAATTAACTTAGTTATTATCATTTATAATGTCTTAATATCAATTAATAAAAGTAGTGAAAATATCATCGTACTTTTTTCATTTTAGGACAATCTTTAAAGGATAAACAAAAAATGTGTTGGTAATCACATAAAAAATTCAAAAAAATAAAACATTTATTTATGATATTATTGAAGTGCTGGGAAAAGATGTGTAGTAGGCTACTTGTAAGCATTTGACTATTTCTTACACATTATCATATATAGGCTGATTTGTGGACTGAAAGCCTTCTATAAGTGTTTCTCCTGGTTTCCACGTCAGCGCTGTTTGATCTGATATGGTTTATAACAGAAACCTGCGCCGAATCGGAGTGTTTCTCACTGGATCTCGTGGTGTTGATGTTATTAATTCTGAGGCGAATTCAATGGATTTCTTCACTGGATCTCCTAGTAACAGTGTTGCGTGAGCGAGATCGGCCCACGGCTGGCAAGTTCGGGGCTTTATTTTGTTAATGGTTCGGATCGCTGCTGCTGCTCCACGGTCCTAATCATAAATGAGTAGCGTATTTTCGTTCCACTTTCATTTTGTTTGCATTCGCTGCTAGGTAACGACTAACGAGTCGATAGATCGCTGATTGCTCAGACGCACATCAGGTTGTGATATTTGTCTCCGTCTCCCTCCCACAGACGTTTACGCGCGCTATTCTTGTCACGGATTCATTGACGCGCCGCTTTACCATGCGTTTAACGTGTGGCAAATTTACTGGTCGCACATGTGCGACTGGATGTAAAATTCAGTCGCACACTCTCAAATTTTGGTCGCAGTCTGGTCTGGAGCCCTGAAATGACGCGGGGCGTTCAAGCTTCTCCGTTCCTCCGCTCGCTATGACGAAGCTGTGCGTTGACTGAACAACATGCGCACGTTTTATTTTATTTTTTTTTCATAATCAATCCGCGGATCACGTGTGTGCCGAACCGAAGACATTGATCCGAACGAATCACGGATCAGTGATGATCCGTTGCACCACTACCGTTTAATAAGAAGATACTTTATGAAGACAGTTCACTTCGCGTATACAGACAGGAGCCATCTTAGAAAATATTCTCGATAAGTCAAACCACGAACGTCGTGCTGAGTGATCTGAACTGTATAAAGTTCAGCGAACTTCTGAACTGTATGAACGGCGTTCGGGGATCGACTTATCGAGACTATTTTTTAAGATGGCTCCTGTCTGTATACGCGAAGTGAACTGTCTTCATAAAGTATCTTCTTATTAAACGGTCTGTACACTTACAAAGTTCTCAATGCTTCGTTTTGCATGTATGGAGCCTCATTATGTTACTGCGTGAGTGTGAGGCTATTTTGAGCCTTGTTAGTGGTATAAACTAGCGATTTCTTTTTACTTAGTCAATGCCCCCAGTACTAGCATTATACGCTAAACAATTTTTAGAGATAAAACTCTTTACATTTGATTATCAAGAAAACAAAACTCAGGGAACGATTGACTAGGTACCGATGTTTTAATAGACCAAAGGTTCATTGTTCGCCGGAGTTCTCCTTTAAGTGTGGGCTTGGAAACAAAAGGATGATTTTGAGTGTGCTTTGCTTTAAATGTAACAACTATTTTGATCTTTTTTATGTTGTAGAGCTTGAGAGTAATTTGAATTATTTCTTTCCTGTTGTCGAATGGAGACTTGAGCAGTTTGCTGAAGAATGCTTTTGGATAAGTCCACCAGCATGAGTTTGATGGACATCTCTAAGATCTTTTCTCTTCTTCAACCCAAAGAGGATGAGGAAGAAGACACAAACTGTTGCCAGGAACTGAATCAAGCCGTCTTGAAAGATGACGACAAACTCCTTACTGACCTCCTGTCTCAGGATAAGTACAGGAAATGCATCAACCATCGCAGTGGCTGGGGCATCCCGGTTACTCCACTGCGCACTGCTGCGGCTCAGGGTCACCTGCGCTGTCTCGAGGTCCTCCTGGCTCACGGGGCAGAGGTGGACGGCCTAGATGTCAAAGCTCAGACTCCACTTTTCACGGCCGTCGCTGCCAAACACCTAGACTGTGCTGTTGCTTTATTAGAAGCTGGTGCAAACCCTAACGGTAGCCTGCATAACAACTGCTCCCCGGTGCTCACCGCGGCCCGAGAGGGTGACGTGGACATCCTGAGGGAGCTTCTGCGACACGGAGCTGACGTAGACGTCAAGCCCAAAATGCCCGACTGGGCCTCGAACGCCACGACATGCCGAGGACCACTCTACATTTCAGCTGTTTATGGCCATATGGATTGCTTCAAACTGTTACTGCAGCACGGAGCGAACCCAGACTACAACTGCACTGAGGAAAAGATGCTGACCAGGATCAAACAGCCTAAAACTGTCCTGGAGATGTGTCTGAGATACGGCTGTGGGATAGAATACATTCAGCTGCTCATAGACTTTGGAGCAAATGTCTTTCTACCCACTATAATGGTTGACAAAACAACCAGGCAAAATGAAGCAGTAATGCTTCTGCTGAAAGAGAGAGGTAAGTCTGAAATACATTCATCTGTGATATAGTTCACTCAAAAGTAAAATTCTGCCGTTATTTTATTCACATTCAGGCCATCCAAGATGTTGGCGAGTTCTTCAGTAGAACAGTGAATATGTTTAGCTGAAACCATGGTCCTTGGTGAATCACAAAATGTAAATCAAAATATTACCCGTGGCTCCTGATGATACATGGAGATTTTAAGAAGAGAAATGACCGGTCTGTTAAGAAAACTGAGCATTATTTACAACATTTTTACTTGTAATACAATAGCATGTTTACGGCAGTCTGGAGCTCGAGCTTCCTGTCGTATTATGACATATACGTGAATGTACGTATAAACGTTTCATTTGTACCGCGGACGGGTAAACGTCCATAGTGGTGAATGTGAGATAACAGCAACACCCGCAGCGCTGCCCTAAACCCCACCCCTAACACGGCTTTCTGGATAAAACGACATACAACCCAACCCATTTCAGCGGGTATTATGAATTTATTTATTTTTTTAAGTTAGAAAGAGAACTCACCGGCCGTGGCTGCAATAGTGTCCCGATTGTCTCGCGAGTCGCCACTAACAGAGGGACGGTGAACCAGCACATCGTCCATCAAGTCGAACTATGGCAAGTTCCTTTTCTGAGCTGCGCTTCGTCCATTGTGCGTTTTAATCGCCTTGTACAACTTTATTTTTTCCTGAACTTGAAGCGTTGCTCGCTGAATGCTTCGCTTAGAAAATTCAGCTTCGATGAATTTTATAACTTCCTAATTTTTTCATTGATTATTTTGCACAATATAAAAAAGTGAAATGTGCATCTTGCTTCAGATTATAACGTTCCATAACACCGATAAACTTGAGCACGCCTGTAGCCCAAGCTGGCCCACTTTGGCCCAAGGTATTTGACGGACCAGAAATCCTGGCGAGTAGACCCCCGGAAGTGACAAAGGAAACGAAACTAGCCCTGGCACGCACTAGCATGGCTCAGCCCTGACCCGGTGTTCTGACATTCCATCCTACCCGTCAGATTGTCCTACCAAGGCTTACTGCGCATGCGCACATCAATAATACGTCATTTTTTGTCACGCTGAACAACACGCCCATAATATTTTACTACTTGCGCGAGATCTTCTTCATCTGAGGTAAGTTTTTCACTATTTTTGTCAATTATTACTATACAAAGATATATAGCAGTAATGAGAACTGTTTACTCTCACATTCATACAAAGCAAATTCATATTAGCATTTTTTTCATGAAAACATTAACGTAAAATCATTCTACTCGTTTATTTCATACTGGTAGGACAATCTGATGAGGCATTTTGCACTGTAAAATCATACTACTCGTTTATTTCATACTGGTAGCACAATCTGATGAGGTATTTTGCAACGTAAAATCATCCTATCGTTTATTTCATAGGACAATCTGAAGAGGTAACGTTACTTTGCGCTGTAAAATCACCGTAACATGGCCTAATAAGAAAATTCGGCAAAGTTACACAGAAATATTTTATGTAACTTAGTCACAGACGCGAAGCAGAAACGCTCAGTAGGATTTTACGACGAGGTAGGATGAACCGATAGATATGGCTATAATTTTGCGCTACGGTAGGAAAATCTGACAAGGTAGGACAGATCGACAGAACACCGGCAGTAGAAACGTATCTATGTAGTAGATACGTTTCAGTAGGCAGTAGACGATACGTACTAATGTATCGTCAGGAGCCATGGGTATTCATTTTGGTTTGTCTGCATATGTTTTTTTGACTGGCAAAGTGACAGTAGCCGTTGACTTGCATTTTATGAATCACCAACTATTTCAGCTAAAAATCTTCTTTACTGTTTTAGTAAAGAAAAAAAAAAGTCACCTATATTTTGGATGCCCTGAGGGGGAGTAAATTAACAGCAAATTTCCATTTTTGGGTGAACTCTCCCTTTAAGACCTGTTATTTCAACATCGTAAGAAATTCACTTTTAGCACTCTATGTGCACTTAAATCTGTTCTTTTCGATCAAAGTGTTTGTGATGTGTAGGTTTAGTGCATGGACTTAGTAACTTGTGGGTAGGCCAAAAGATATTACTAAATATAAATAAATAAAACATTTTGTAACTCCCAAATCAAGTATTTTAATTCATGTCATAAATAAATAAATAAATAATAAAATAAAAATTATTGAAAAAAAAAATGTATTAAAAACTAAAAAATTCTGCATGCTTGTGTATTAAAGCTGAATCTGTTTTGGTGGCTCGTATCCTATCAAGACTGTTGATTGCCAGTTGTGGTGCATAAATAGATATTTGATTTAAAGATAAGGCTTATAATTGTTAACTGTTATAACTTTGCCTTAATTATTTACATGCCTTTTTAGATAGAATGTGTGCTTTTTAGTAATTCACACATCCCTCCCAACCCAAATATCAGTCACCCATAGTTTAGGGTGGAACAATATAGCAGTGGTTTTTAACTCCGGTCCCGGGGACCCATTTAACACACATGATTCTGACCATCAGCTCTTCAGGGATAAGCTCAATGAACTGAACTGTGGCTACATCTTCAATAGGAAGGCATAGGAATCTGATCGATTTCTGAAGGAAGCAAATATCCCACAATCCTGTGCAACACAGTTGAGCTTAATAAATAAAATAAAGATGGCATCTGAAAGTTGCAGTTGGTGGTCAGCTTGTGTTTAAATATATAGTACATTTTGACTGATGTTTTCCAATTTGAAATCATTTCTAGTGAGAAATTAGTATTGTTATAAAATAAATACATACTCACTTATGTTTCATCAAAACTCTCTCTATTTTGGTGTAACATCTCTAGTTAACTAGCAGAGCATTTATTTAGTTTGTTTGTTAAATAAGAGGCGATCTAGCACTGAAATGTGTTGCTTTTGAAACCATGTGATCAAAGTGCTCGTTGCCGCTCTATTCGTTCCGGTGAAATTACACAAACATACAACTGGTAAACATAATCGGTTATAATGAGATAAAAAAAAAAAAAACCCTATACAAGTGCGGATTAGAACCCAGAACCTCTTTCACGGCACGCTTGGCAAAAGTTCTGCCACTGGACCATTAAAATGCATGCGTGTCATCGTCGGATCTATGTATTTCTTCACGTGAAAATTCTCGCCACCAACACATATTACAAACAAATTAAACACAGTGTACTATTTTAATCGATTGCTGGACATCGATAAGTTATTGTACATAGGTGTAAATCTGATTCATGATTTATCATTGTATTTTCAGGTGAGATTGTAGCTGCTTAAAGCTCAAATCTGTGGTTTATTTATAAAGATAGCACCTATTTGAAAATTTGATCTGATGTTTTGGTATTGTGAGATCCAGTCGTCACCGGGCGCTCAGCGCTCACGGGCTGGATCAGCCTTTCCTCGGCTAGTGCTTCTGGCGTTTGCCGCTGGCTCTGATGTATCTTTAGTGCTTAAACATGAGCTATAATTCGTATTGTGTATATCTAACTGGCAATCTTGTCTCATGAATCTATAATTAGTTCCCAATCAAATTGTTTTGGCTGAGAGCTAAGTTTGATAACTTTATTTATTTATTTACGCTATTTACCTTTACCGTTGTAGCCTACTAAAGTGCTGACTTTGCTTCGTATACCTTTTATACTTTTATAATGGCTATTATTGATCATTAAACCTGACATTTAACAAAAAGAGGCAGGGTTGTGTTTTAGGTCATATTTAATTGTATTACAGTGAAGATAATCAGAGTACAAGCACATATTGTCTGAACCACATGTTTGTTGTTGGGTTTTTTTTAAACGAAGAGGCAGGGTCGTGTTCTGTTATAAATATACATGCAGTGAAGATAATCAATGTACTCTGCCTAAACTACATTAATGTGACTTAATACGTTTAATAAATATATATATATATATATATATATATTTTTTTTTTTTTTTTTTTTTTTTTTTTAAATGAAAAGGAGGCTTCCTTCTTGCATAGGGCCCTATCCACAAGTTTCCGAGGGGCGCTCCTGTAAAAAATAAAGTGGGTGAAATTTCCGGTGAGGTGGCGGAAGTAGCATTCCAATGGTATTTTGTGTGTTAGTTAGCGAAGAGGCTAGCTGTTTTTCGGAGAATTATTTTACTATTTAAAGACGCAAATCTTTATGAGAGATGGTGTTACGGAGTTCATGGACAACATGTGCTGTTCGCGGTTGTATGTATAACCGGATTAAACTAATTCAGTGGCTTAAACGTGATTGTTTTGAACATAAGCTGAAAACGAAATCACAGTGCTCCTACCAGAGCCCGTCTCTGATCCTGCCAACGACTGTAGTTTCCATCACCTTCCAAAAGACGACGAATCTTCCTGTGTACATTTGTTTAAATTCTTAATATTCTATAAACTCTATCAGCATGTGATTGGCTGTTCGCTACTGATGTTACACCTAAACTCAGGATCAAAGCCTGAGTTGACAGAATACCAAATGTGCCAGTTAATGTATTCAAGCAGCACATTCATTTATAATTTTGAATAAACTCCAAAGCACAATGACTAAGTGTGTATTTTTTATTTTAATTGTTTGTCAGCTCGCACAACTGTCTGTCACCATGCCTTGATGAGTACTGATTATTAATAATGTTATTATAATACTCCCAATCAACTACTGCGGAGGGTTAAGGTACTGTTATTTCACCCTTTTGAATTTCGTTGAGGTTGTGTTCCCACATCGTTAGCTAGTTTGGATCGCTATAACTTGAATGACTGTCAACTGTTGTATGAAGGAGTGTCAAGCATGTTAAATCACGCTTTGTTTACTTCCAACCGGAAGTCGCGCCCACTTTTGACGCAAAGCCTCATGGGGCGTAGGAAACTTGTGGATAATTTCCACGATCGCTGAATCACGGACGGAATCGCAGAATTGGCCAATAAACGCGGAATCTAGTGTTAACGCGGAATTTTACATATTTGGGATGAAATTCGGTTTTGGTGTGGGAAAAGAACGTATGTCTGGGGAAAATGCAGAGAGATGGGGAAGCAAATCTGGGCGACACAACCCCTCCAGTCATTTCAGCTCATGACGGCATCAAAATAATATCCGCGTTTCCACTGAAAGACTAGCTCTCCACGGCTCTGCTTTCGTCGGCGAAAAAGTTTAGAAACTCGTCGCACACACGCACACACAAAGTCCCCTCCGTGCACGCCTGTCTATGAGGTGCCGGACCGAGTGTGTGCCCGAGTCGAGAGCGCGCGAGAGAGACGAGACAGCACGCAGTGTGTCCGAGAGAGCGCGCGAGAGAGACCGAGTGTGTCCGAGAGAGCGCTCGACAGTGCGCGCGAGAGACAGAAGCTGCGTCCCAATGTGCATACTTTGCCCGAAATAGTATTGACAGTAATGTCACATACTATTTAGGATGGATAGTATACACATTACGACGCAGCTAGAGTGTGACTTTTATTTTAACTTATATTAACTAATATAATTTATTTTTACAGGACAGTTTAAAGCTCATAACCATATTTTGTTGTTACTTGAAGTACTTGTACAGTGTTATGTTGCATCATGCAGTATTTGTCATTTTAAGAGTAAATGCCTATTTTATTTGTGTACATTTTAATCATTAACATTAAAAGCTCTTTTTACAACTATAATAACATTAAAGGGTAAAAAAAAAAACTGAATTCCCAAAAATTAAAATGGAAAAAACAGAATTTGCAAAAATTAAAACGGAAAAACGGAATTTGGGAAAAAATAAAACGGAATTTGGGAAAAAATAAAAACGATTTTATAGGGCCCTACTTGCATCCTCCCTCGGGAGTTCATTCTCCTGAGTAAACTTGGCAAGTCCAGACTTTGTGTACTTGTATTGAGAAATGCCTACGGTCTTCCTACGAGTCCACTTTCGTGACGTAACGGCGCTTTGACTGTCGGGAAGAAGTCTGCTGTGGAGCATTCTTCAGTGCGGGCTCTGCAAAAGTGTACATCGAGGGCGCAGATCGGCAGTGAAGGGGCGCTCGCGAGCACCCTTCTTAGACCTAGAACTATCAGATGGGACACCCAACGGTCTCATGGACTTGAAGCGATAGTTCTTTAGGGATAGGCGTCTTTGTTTCCGCAGGAGTTTCAATTTTGATATATATGTAGGTCAAACCGTTTGTGTCTATGAGTCATATAATGGAGGTCTATGGGGTCCACCTCAAACAAGGTCCAAATTAAACATGATTCAATGAACTGTAAATGCAAGTACACATTGATGGCCTAAGACACGAAACGAGCAGTTTGTGTGAGAAAATGAACAGTATTTATATAGATTTTACCTCTTGTAACCACAGCCACGTCCAAGTGATCTGAGAGCGCGGGCGCTTTGCGGCTGTCGTTACAAGAGGTAAAAACGATATAAATACTGTTCGTTTTCTCGCACAAACCGCTCGTTTCATGTTTTAGGCCATCAATGTGTACTTACATTTACGAGTCATTGAATCATGTTGGACATCCATTATATTACATTTACGAGTCATTGAATCCCCATGGACATCCATTATATGACTGACAGACAAGAACGGTTTGACCTAAAAATATCGAAATTGAAAATACTGCGGAAACAAAGACACCTTCATCCAGGATTCCCTTGAGGTAAGCTAAAACATATCAAAAATTAAATTCAAAGTGAACTATACCTTTAACGGACACCATTGTTAGGCCTAAAGTGAATATGTGGCCAGTGTGTCATAAGAGAGAATACGGTAAAAATTGTGGTGAGTGGTGGATCTCTTGGGCGGAGTTGAAAACCTGTGATTTAGAAAGAAATTAGCATGTAGTTGCTAAGATTGAAAATCACTGATTCTATGAGGTGCTCACTATAGCCTCAAATATTGTGTTTGTGTGTGTGCATGTGCTCTGCTATTATTTTGTTATTCATTCTTATGTGATTGTAACACCAAATCCTCTCTATACAGTTTGTCCAAAACCACTGATGTCTCAGGCGCGACTTGCTTTATGGAAGTTTCTTCCCACGGAAAACAAAATGTGCTCCATAGATTGTCTGGACATTCCAAAAATACTGAAGGACTATTTGAATCATGTATCCTGATTTCCCTACATTTCCCTTCTAATGTGGAATACACAGCTTAAAATTTTACTAATATTATTTTCCCTATTTGTACAACGTTGTGATTTGTAATATTTGTAATATTTTCTGTATTAAGAAATCTAAATATTATACAATGGTTTATACAGGAATGTCTTTTTTTTATCTTTAATAATTTATGAATATCTGGTTAATGCAACAAACGAAAAGAGTTTCAAATTTGTTTGGTTCTATTTTTGTTGATGGAAGACAACATCAATTCATGTGAAAGATTTTCTGCCCTCTAATGGTTAAAATGATAACTGTCTTGTGGTGACCCTCGACAAGATGGATTCTGTTCCATCGTTTAATCAACGAGCCAAGGTATGTAAACTTCTTAATTATGGTTTGTTAAAGGCACAGTTCACCCAAAAATGAAAATTCAGTCATTATTTACTCACCCCAAAGTTGTTTCAAACCTGTAATGGAATGGAATTGGAACCCTGTATGAATTTTGGGTGAACTATCCCTTTGATGCAGAGCTTCTTCTGACCTCTGCTGCAGGACTGTGGCTCTCCAGGAGAGGAGTTTGACAGAATTTACACCCCTGGTCTACTCTGCACTGAAGTTTAACGACTTAAAGGAGTAGTTCACTTTTAAAAAAAACTTTTCTTGAAAATTTACACACTTCAGTCGAAAAGAAATTAAGGCTTTTGATAAAAACATTCCAGGATTCTGGATGAACGAATCTTTTTTCGAGTCTTTTGGTTCAATCAATGAACGAAATGACTCGAAAAAAGATTTGTTCATTTTGATGAACGAATTCGAACAGGAGAGTCATGAACATCACAGAACAGAGCAAGGCGAGCATTTGTGCTTATAAAACTTAAACTTTTTTATTTATTGTTGAAATGACAGATCGTTTCGCTAGATAAGACCCTTATTCATTGTCTGGTGTCGTTTAAAGCCCTTTGAAGCTGCACTGAAACTCTCATTTGGACCGTCTGGTACCCAATGAAGTCCATTATATGGAGAAAAATCCTGGAATGTTCATCAAAAACCTTAATTTATTTTTGACTGAAGAAATATATATATATATATATATATGCACTTTAATCCATTCAGCCGATTTTCTGAAATTTAGAAAAATCAGTAACCAGACAGTTTCTGGTCTCATTGACTTGCATAGTAGGAAAAAAATATACTATTGAAGTCAATGAGACCAGAAACTGTCTGTTCACTGATATTCTTCTAAATATCAGAAAATCAGCTGAATGGATTCGAAAATGGTAAAACCCAACTGTTTAACTCTGGGGGAGTGGTAAAATGAGCCTATTTCCAAAAAAAGTGGAGTGTCCCTTTAAAAAACAATACAAGTTATATTGCAGGGGTGAGCGGCGGACAACCTAACACAGGGTTAGGTAACACACTAACTTTCCACACCTGCTAGCATGACACAACTTAGTGTATTTACTAGTTGCCATATCAACACTATATAGACACAACATTGTGCCATAACAAGGAAAAGAAAATTGAAAGATCACTGAACATAGGAAAAGTAAATTTCTTAAGTTGATTTTTCACAAACAAAAGATTAATCTCTTTTTTGTGTGTTGATTCAAATAATATCAGATTTCTCATTTTAAATCATGTGTCTGTTATTTAACAGTTGAGATGGCAATTTAATGATCTCACTAGCAGAAGACACTAGACGGGTTTAAATCCCAGTTGTGTTGTAATGTCCCCTATTAGAACTACGCCATTCTATTCTCTAATTTTATTTGAAAAAGGTGAATGTTCAGAAATGATTCAATGATTAATTATCATTATGTTTTGAACTATGCTGTATAGCTGTGCTTGTGGTGTGTTTGTTGTCGAACTCAAATTTTTCATTATTTTATATGAAAAAGGTAATAATTGTATTTTATTTGATTTCTGCCTCTATAATATCTTCAAGTTGCCTATTTTTAAATAATAAATTACGTCATGCCTCAAAACCTCACTTCAGATACTATTTGTCATTCATTTTGTTCTATTAACAATCATTTACCACATTTGACTTGCATTTAGTTTGTAACAACTGGACATATAAACTCTAGTCAAGTTCATTTTATTTGTATAGTGTTTTCCAAAATACATGTTGTTTTAAAGTAAAGTAGTTTATAGAAATTCATGATATTAATATGTATATTACTGTACCTCCACACAGAACAGTTTGGCGCTAGGATAGTTTAAACATTATTTTTTGTTTATCCGATAAGTAGACATAAATAAACCAATGTACCAAATACATTTCTCTATGCGCAAAAAAAAAAAAAAAAAACTGCCAAGTTCACACAACAGGATTTTAAGCCTGAATTGCAAGTCAATGAGCTTGCAGACAGGTAAGGCTGTGACCAGGGCAAATCAGCGCTCACCAACTGTGTGAATTACTCAACAACGCATCAAAATGGCTCGCCGATGCCTCGCCGACACCTCGCAAACGGCAGACATATGTCTAGCATAATAAATATCTGGAGCTGTTGGCCGAATCTACATCATATGTGGTGTCAAGTGTCATGACGAGCTACAGTCAATGAGAGAGCAAGAGTTTTACTCACCTCTAACTCTCTCTGTAGCACAGACAATCCCTGCTGCCCACGTGTGCTGATATATTCTTTCACCCATACTCGTTTTTTTATGGGTTTTTCTCAACAGATTATCGCGCAAACAGCTTGCAGGGCTAATTTCTTCCTGACGACCATTTCCAAATAATCGACTCCTGTTTTGCTAGTTTCGAATCATTTCACTTCTTGCATGTGTTTGAGATGAAACGTGGTTTTGGGCTTAGATAGAGTCATTGGGTGACAGAGCTGTTGTCAGATTGAGTAGTGTGCGACCCCCTGTTGTGTATAATTTACGTAGTGTCACATACAGTGAAAACACCACAGCAACTTTAATTTCAGACAGCAAGTCATGTAGTCTGAACAGCACAGCGACCTGTCGACGTTTAAAGTTGTGTAGTCTAGAAATGCATTGATTTCTAGTCAATTTGAAGCAAAAGGGGGAGGTGCTGTTGTCATTTATAATTTGTAGCAATATTTTCAGAATTACTAAGAGATCTAGTTTCAAATATAATTATTTTGAAGTGTTGGTGCTTAATGTAACAATATGTACTGTAAATGATAAATCACGTTTGAGATTTGTGTTGGCTACTGTATACAGGGCACCATGCAAACTTTATCAAAGAACTTGCTGACTTTCTATCAGAATTAGTCCTGGTTGCAGATAAAGTACTAATAGCTGGTGATTTTAATATACATGTAGATAATGAAAAGATGCAATGGGGATTGGATTTTAAAGATATTCTGAACTCTATTAGAGTTAGACAACACATGTCAGGACCTACTCATTGTCGTAATCATACTCTAGATCTAATATTAATCACACAGAATCAAGGTTGATGCCGTCGAAATTCTGCAGTAGAGCGATGACATCTCAGATCACTATCTAGTCTCATGTAAACTTCACTTAGCCAAGGCTGCAAAGCTGACTCCTCGTTACAATTATGCAGAGGTGGAAGTAACGAATTACAAGTACTCAGATTACTGTAATTAAGTAGTTTTTTCGTGTACTTGTACTTTTATAAGTACATTTTTTAGTCTGTAATTTTCCTTGTACTTGAGTACAAATTAAGTTAAGTAATGTACTTCACTACTTTAAAAATCCCATTAATTACAAAGTACTTGTACAATTTGAATTCAACAATTATTCAAATCTTTGACCAGCATTTGGGTATCCAATGGAAATAACTGATCGTGGGCGGGCCAATAAAAACCCTTTGGAGCGGGAAAAAAGCCCGGTTTCTGGAGAGCTATATTCGTCCTCACACGTCCTTCAGTTTGTATTTTAGTGTTATCAAAGAACTTTGCCGTTATGGACATGGAGATTCGAGACGCTGAATTCATTGAAAATTCTGAAGAAATACCAGATGATGAGTGCCCATGACCCCACATGGAGGAGTTGTTCTTATACAGAGGAAGGAAATGAGATGTTTTATAGAAACTTTGTTTTTGCAGTGATATGTGATAGTTCAGTTGTTGTTGTTTTTTTAAAGTTGGGTAGACCTCATGATAATTTGACTAAAAACATCACTTGAAACATGGGCTTCAGCGTTACTCAGGTGACAAGCACATATACCGTAATAAAGATTTAGCATTGTAAAGTTAGATTAAAAAGTTATATTGTATGTCATTGTCAACACATTGTTGTATTAATATTGAATCCGTGTTTTAAGCTTAGAATGAAGAGTTTAATAATGACTTTCATAAAAAGAGTATCTTGCCGGCCATGACCCACTGGCATAACAGTGTAACTGCACTAATTGACAGTCTGTCTAGATGGCACATTTGTGTCAGTGCTAAATGCTGATAACTTTTGAAACTTTTGAAATATTAGTAGGGTACTTTTGGAAATCTTTATTGTAAAAAAAAAAGAAGTTTATGAATAAAATAACCCAATAAGCTTATTTATTTTGCATTATAATTAATTAATAATAATAATCATATTAGACCATTTTTATAACTTGGTTTCCATAAAAGTAAATAAATATCACAGGCTAAAAGTAATTAGTAATTAGTACTTGAGTAGTTTTTGAGAGGGGTACTTTGTACTTTTAATTAAGTACATTTTTAACACCAGTACTTTTGCTTGTAATCGAGTATTATTTTAGCAACTACTTGTACTTGAGTACAAATTTTCAGTACTCTTTCCACCTCTGCAATTATGTTAGTCTCAGCCTCAAGACGTCACGCCCACGGAACGTTGGCTAAACATAAGCCGTCAGTCTGAAGGTCTGGCTACGCGAGACTACAATTATGTTAGACCTATAACTTCTGCCACTAAAGACTGCTTTATCAATAATGTTCCTGATCAGTTCCATCATCTCAGCATCCCGGATAGCTTAGAAGAACTCGATATCGTGACAGAAACTTTTAACTCTCTCTTTTCCAGCACTTTAGACGCAGTTGCTCCGTTGCACTTAAAGAAGATTAAAGAAAATAGTCCAACACCGTGGTACAACGCACACTCGGGCCCTTAAGAGAGCAGCCAGAAAAATGGAGCGTAGCTGGAAGAAAACTAAATTAGAAGTATTTCGCATTTCATGGAAAGAGAGGTCAATTGCATATAGAGAGGCCTTAAAAGCTGAAAATAAACAAAACCCTAGGTTCAGTATTTATCTGAAACAGTGGCTAAACTAACAAAAAATAAAGCTTTAAGCCCAGTAGTTTCCAAGCAGCACAGCAGTAATGACCTTATGAACTTCTTCCCTTATATGATTGATAATATCAGGGACAAAATTATAACTATGCAACCGTCTACTAGAGTATCGCACAGACCCAGCACCAGACACAAATTCACGGACGGGCATTACATTATTTTTTTCAGGGGGGCACGTTCTGAGATAAACCTAATTCCCTAATTGGATAATAACATTAAATGATATGACCGATTATGAATTGAATATGTATGATATACAATGATAATGATCAATAGTAATCATAATGTACTGATGCTATTCAAATTCATAACTGATGCTAGATTTGTGCTGTAAGGCTCGCGCAGCCTCTCGATGAAACAAATAGTAACTGCAGCAGTAATATTAACTGCAGCTCACACAAAGAAACTCAGTTAGCATACTGGTAAAAATGTCAAAATGTAAGTT